TCTATTCTATTCTATTCTATTCTATTCTATTCTATTCTATTCTATTCCATTCTATTCCCATTCTCTATTCTCTATTCTATTCCCATTCCCTATTCTATTCCCATCCCCATCCCCTATTCTATGCCATTCTGTTCTATTCTATTTGTAGTCGTTTGCAGCCATGCGGCCGCATTTTATCACAGCTTTGCCAAAAACTAGCACTTTTACTGTTTTGGGGGCAAAACTGCGCCCATAGCAAATCAAGGGTTTGCCTTACAACTGCTGCCCATCCCTCCCCCAAAAATCAGTCTGGTCACATGACCAACCCATGTTACAACCCTGATGGGCAGGCTCCATGATGAATTCTTATGTCGAGGACTGCCTGTATAACAGCAACATTTCCTGCCTGGAACGTTTTATACCGTATGTTTTCTCAAAACTACTTGTTAGTTTAATAGAAGAGCCCTGTCAAAGGAGTAAAACCATCTAGAAACTGCAAGCAGAAAACTTAAGTTAAAAAAAAGGAGGGGGATTTAAAAAGGAACTTGGCTAAACGCTGCCGAAAGTTGGGTTATGTCTGGGGAGGCCATCAACTGAAGCTTTTAAACTTCTAATCCTCTTTATAGCCTTTGGAAGGAAAAAAAAAAAGACGACTTAAAACATCTGCAGCAGATATCAGCGAACAACTGCCTCAGCTGTCAAGATGCTGGAGTAATTCAGACAGGAACGCATGAGCTTACAGGCTGCCTCCTGCCTGACATGTGTTTCAAACCCCACCCCCCAAAAAAACCCCAGATCGCTTACTTTTTTCCTCCTCTTTTTTCTTCTCCGAAGAAGTAGCGTAGCGCCCTTCCTTCATGGCTTTCTGAATAAATTTGTAGTAAGGATTGAGGTAGTGATCAAACCGAAGGAAATCGAATTGGGAGTTACGAGCCTGTTTTGCTTTCAGCATAATCTCAAATTGGACTCCCTGCTTGCAGACGAAATTCGCCGTCCGTTCGATGATGGCGTGCATTTTGGCCGTGGGAGGCTACGAGGGGGGGGGAGGGAAGGGGGGGGAGAATTAAAAAAAAATTAGGTTCACCTTTTAACAGATGCAGTTCTCCTTTCTTTCTTTTTTTTCCCCCACGCTGTGGCAAATTATCTTAACGCTGGCAGCCAAAACGAGCTTTGCCGCTCCAGAAAAAAAAAAAAATCAAAAGTGAATCTTTTATATTCCCCCGTTCCAATTACACAGGGCGATGAGATTTTACACGACAAATTGGTAAAAGGCCGGGGGTGTAATTTGGCAGCTCATGATGCCAAAACTTAAAAACGCAGCTCGTCTGTGGATGAGCAGAAAGCCATCAAATCACTTTCCATCTGCCTGGGATTGCAACAATGAAAGTGGGAAACCGTAACCCGTTACTTGTGAACTATGGTCATCCAATAAGCAGCAGGCCGGAGAGATAGAACTCCGAAAAGGGCTCCCGGACCTCATGATTGCAAAGCAAGATGAGGTGGGAAAAAATGTGACCATTAGAATGGTGAAAAGCTCAGGGAAAAAAAAGGGCCAATTTTCTCGTCTTTTTTTCACGAGAGCCCGCATTACAGTCTCACTACGGGTGCAATTGTAAAACCTGCGGCATGAACTGGCAACTGGGCCTCCTCAGCCATTTTTAGGGATCTTGAAAGCACAGATTTTTCACTGTTGCCAACAGGAAAAGTTGGGGCAATATATACAACCCCCCCCCAAAAAAAAAGGGGAGTATGGATCTTTTATACTAAGCACTTACCAACAAGAACATTACCTAAAGAAAACACAGGGAGTTTTTGACTTAAAATAGTTCGTTTAGTGACCGTTTGAAGTTACAACGGCACTGAAAAAAAAGGGGACTTAGGACAGTGCTTCACACTTGGGGACCATTGCCGCCTCCCCACAGTCACGTGATCGAAATTCCAGACGCTTGGCAACTGACTCTTATTTATGACGGTTGCAGTGACCCTGGAGAGTCACGTGATCCCCTTTTGCGACCTTCTGGCAAGCAAGGTCAATGAGGAAGCCAGATTCACTTAACAACCGTGTGGCTAGCTTATCAACAGCAGAGATTCACTCAACATCTGGGGCAAGTAAAAGTCGTAACATGGGGCAAAACTCACTTAACAACCATCTTGCTTAGCAACATAAATTTTGGGCTCAATTACGGCTGTAAGTAGTTCCGGTTTGAAGGACTTCGACGACAGACAGGAATCCGCGATCGTGCGCGGTTTCTGTATGGGCTCGCCGCTGGAGCTGGCTGGTTTCGGGGCTAAGCCACCCCGTAGAGGTGGTGAAGAGGGGGGAGACCGCCAGCAGAGTGGAGAGCCGCATCTCTCCTCCCCAGCTGGCCATTACTCCCTTTCCCAAAGGTGGTTGTAGCGATGGTCAGAAATGGCCACCACAAAGGAGAACTCGATCGGAAAAGAATGTGCAGGGGGAAGATAAGAAGTGAAAGTTTTGACTGACCGGGATAAATTGTAAAAGCAACAACTAAGGTACCCTGGAATTTAAACTTACAAAAATTAACATCACTCCCAAAGAAGAGTCGGAAGCAGCGAAGGAAAGTGAAAAGGGAAAGGTTTGGCTTTTTTTTCCTTCTCTCTTCTTCCCTAAACTGACAACTAAGAGACTTAAATAAGAAATCAGAAAAATCCGCTTTGACATCAATAGGCAATTAAGCTGAAAATAAAACAAAATGCCAAAGGGATAATAAAGATTTCTGGACATTAAAATTTTTCTTTTTCATAAGCAGGAAGGGAGAGAGAAAGAATAAGGGCAGGATCTGGAAGAGGGAGGAGACTGCCTGGAATTAAAAAAAATCCACAATAAAACTTCAACAAGACTTCTAAAAGAGACATTTTAACTGAAACTTTGCAACTAAATAGTAACCCCAGGAAGAGAAAATGAAAAGAAAAGAGAAAAAAAAGAAACAGCTTGTGTGTATTTGGATTATTTGGTGATCTTTGGATTCTTGGTTATTATATTTGAATGACTAAAATCAATCGGGTGGTTGTTTAAAAATTTATACAATGGCACCACTTCTGGATGAATTGAAAATCGAACTTAAAAAGCACAAAGAAGATGCACAAGAAGGGAAGGGTTCTTTTGGCTTCGTTTTTCAATTCTTAGAAATGGAGATTTGGAACTATGAGAAACAACAAGAAACGACTGCAAAACAAGAAGACTGGGACAAAGAAGAAGCCATCTTTAATGAACAAGTAATTCTATGTGGGGAAGAAAAAGGAAAGGGGGGAAAGAGAATGGAGAATTTAAGACTTAAAAAAACAACCAAAGAAAAATAATTCGAAAAATAAGTATAATACTGGAAAGCAATACAGAATACAGGAATACAGGAGAGAGAAATAGAGGTGGAGAGACAAGGGGGTAAAAAGGGGAGAGAGAAGAAGAGAGGGAAGAAGGAAAGGAAAAGAAGTTACAAAGGACCGAAGCAAGATATAGAGAAACAGGACCTATTTAGAGATAATGGGTGAAAATCTAACTGAAAAAGGGATTCTGTAAAGGTACATAAGATTGTATTGTTATATTAGTAATAGAAATAACTTTAGAAAATTGGAAACAACGTATGATTAAAATGAGGGATAAAATGGTTAGTGTAATTTAGTGAAATGTTTGTGAATAAAATAAGTGAAATAAAATAAATGAGAAAATTGAATTAGGAAGGAACGGGAACATTTTAATTAGTTAATGTTTTATAAAATATAAGTGAAGGGGGGGGATTAACTATGGAAAGCTTATAATTGTTCCCATAGAAGTATGATATTTAATTGAAAAGTAATGTTAAAGATGTTAAGACTTTAATGAATATTAATATTAATGATAGAATTGAATTGGAATGGAATGTTGTTTTAATTATATACATTTATAATTTTTTCTTTTTTTAAGAATACAGTGTGTATTTTAAGAATGTACCAAGCAGAATCCGAATGGAAGTTATGTTATTATATTGAATGTTACAACTTTAGGGAAAAGATAAAAAAGGCGTCATAATCAGTAACTACAGGAGAAATTTTGTTTAATGAGAAAAGATAATAGAAAATTGAAACAGGACAGACAAAAATATAAATACAATGATTTGAATTGAGATGAGATAATTAAAATAAAATTGAGAAAATTAAAAGAGGGGAGAAGCTATGCAGAAAATGTAAAATAGTAATAAGATATGGAATAGAATATAAAAATGAGCATGAACCTGAATTTGTGTCTGTACGAAGAAATGTAATCCGGGATTACGCTACTTTCAAAAAAGATGTTTTATTTGTATTTTTTTTTCTCTTTGAGAAAACTCAAATAAAATTTACAAAAAAAAAAATTACGGCTGTAAGTAGAGGACTATCTGTATTCAAGAGTTTTTATTTTGATCAATGGTTTTTTTTCCCCAGTCAAATCACCTGAGAAACATTATGTGATGACCCAGAGTGTAACACAAACGTAATAAAATACAAAACGTAAATAAATGTCCTTTAATGCCTCCAACTTGGCCCCACTGTTCAATAATTCCCAGTTGGAGATAAAACGTACTCAAAAATAGTCTTCAAAAGAAAGCAATACAGTCCAAACTCAATGAGCAGATGAAGGTGAAATAAAAAACCAAAACAAACTACAATGAAGGAATTTCCACAACAGACTGGGATAAGTAATTACTAACTTCAAGGAGACAACAAGGCACAGTCTGTTGGAAGGATGCCAACCAAGATAACTTCAGCCTAAAATAAAACACGCTTTGCTTCTGGCAACACTGTGCTTTAACCATCTCTCTTATATACTATTCTCCCCAGCTGCAACCAATGAGGGGGATCATGGCCGCTTCCTCTCTCGCAAGCCAAGTTGTTTCCTTCTCTATTCCTCCCTGTGTGTCCTAGGATGAAGAGGGGATGGGCCTGGTTCTTCCTCTGACTGCCCAGCCGGACTCTGCGCTTCCCCAGCCTCCTCCACAACCTCAGGAGCCACACCTCCACTCCCTTGTAGGCTGTTCCTCCTCTCCCTCAGTCTGACTCTAACAAGGGCATGACATATTAAGGCTTTTAGAGGAATAACCTGAGAACTGTTTATTTTGTATTCCCCACTGTCAGTTTTGTTTCCCTTAACTGCATGAAAGGCTTCTTTTAAAATACTATTTATTAAATTTCTACCCCATTTTTAAAAAAAGATATCCAAACAGGGCAACATGCTTTCCTTTCTCCAGTTTTTCACTGTCAACCTCCAAGTTAGGCTGGCTTGGTCAAGGGAAGCTGACTTGTCTAAAGTCACCTAAGGTGCTTCCATAACTGAAAGCAGATTAATAAACTTGTTCTAATCAGTCCGCCACCTGCTGCATCAGGCGAGCCGTTTTAAAGGCAATTGCTAAAATTAGGTGGCAAAATGAACCCACTTCATCCTATGATTTACACAGTGGGACACAAATTCTGCAATGGTTTTATAGATTTCTTACACGAGGGCTCCAATCATGCAGTTAATTTCAAAGGCAACCAGGGAACAATATCATTTAAAAAGAAAAAGAACATGGAACCACCCATACAAATTTATGTTTCACTTTCAAATACCTGAAGCCTATCTAAGGTAGACCCCTGCTTTTGTGGTAAGATTAAGGGAAAAATACTAGAGCCATAACAATAGCAATAGCATTTAAGACTTATATACCGCTGCACAGTTCTTTACGGCCCTCTCTGAATGTTTTACAGAGTCAGCATATGGCCTAGAATAATCTGGTTGTGCATTTTACCAACCTCGGAAGAAGGGAAGGCTGAGTCAACCTTGAGCGAGTCAGGATTGAACTGCTGACCATGGGAGGGTGGATGGATGGAAGGAGGGAAGGGAGGGAGAGAGGAAGGGCAATAACACTAGCAATAGCCCTTAGACTTATATACCACTTCACAGTGCTTTACTGCCCTCTCTAAGTGGTTTACAGAGTCAGCCTACTGTCCCCAACAATCTGGGTCCTCGTTTTACCAAACTCAGAAGGATGGAAGGCTGAGTCAACCTTGAGCTGGTCAGGATCGAACTACTGGCAGTTGGCAGAGTTAGTCTGCAACGCTGTATTCTAATCACTGCGCCATCACAGCAAATAATTCTGATGTTGTTAGAAGTTTACATATAAGACATCTTGGGTGGATAACCATGATTTGTTAATAAAGAAGGTTTTTTTAAAAAAAACAAAGTCTCTAGTCATAAATATGGGTGCAGCAATGTTAAGGAAATGAATTCCACACATCAGGAAAAAAACAAAAACAAGCAAAAAAAAAAACCACCAGAGAAGGGCTAAAGAAGTTTTTTTTCCAGTGGACCATCTGAAAGCATTTTTGAGATCTAAGGAGTTCTGTGGCCTCCTCATAGAATTTAACCTTCTTTCAGAATTTCAAACTACTGAGTTGCTGTGCACGAATCAAAGGACTTTGATTCATGTCCGTACAGGCCCTGAAATTGCAAAGTGTTAAGTCACAAGAGGAAGACTGCTACCTGTTATTTGATATGGTTTTAATCGTAAAAGGGCTCACGTCTATGCAAATGTACTTCTTATTTCATTCTAAATTATTCCGCAGATGGTGGATTGGAAAGCTGCTGTAACAACACATCTAAAATGCAATAAGCAGGCAAATGTTGTGCTACCTCTCCAAATCAGAAGAAAGAAACTAGATGATCAAAGGTAATAAAATATGAGTTACAACAGAATGATTCAACTAGGAAGAGCCAGACTGGGAAAATTATTCCAGGGCTGTAAATCTTACTGAGAAACTTCAGACAATCTTCTTAAAATATGGTGAGGGTTTATTCCCTCTCATTAGAGCATTATTATTGCAATTGTTTGCAGTAGGCCAACTATTCTTTTACAGTATCAATAGTATCCGACATAGTGCTAAAAGTTGAGAGGCTCACCCTGGGAATCTCTGCCCAGAAATGGTTTACTCCTGGTTTACTCCCAGGTAACTCTAAGTAGGACTACAGTTGACTTACAACAGCTCATGTACTGACTGTTCAAGTTACAATGGCACCAAAAAAAGGCACTTATGACCATTTTTCACACTTCTGAACATCGGAGCATCCCCATGCTTATGTAAGCAAAATTTGGACAGACTTGGCAACTGACTCGTATTTATGACAATTGCAGGGTCCTGGGGTTTTGTGATCCGCTTTTGTGACCTTCTGACAAGCCAAATCAATGGGAAAGCCACAGTCACATAACAACCGTGGGACTAACTTAGCAAGTGGAGTGATCCGCTTAACATCTGTGGCAAGAGATGTTGTAAAATGAGGCAAAATTCACTTAACAAATACAGTATTTCTCTTAGTAACAGAAATGCTGGGCTCAATTGCGGCTGTAAGTCGAAGACCACCTATGCAGCCTAAATCTGCCAATCTCAATGAATGCAATAGCCAGATAGGATATTCAGGGTGCCTCTGGAACTGAATTTCTGAGCATACGATGACCAAGATTTACTGCATTATTCAAAATTACAGGAAGATGCAGTAGATACGCCACGGTGTTGATCTGTATTAAAAACATACTCACCAGTTCCACATCGGAAGGTACATTCAATCCCAAAGGGGCGATAAAGGGCTCTTCGTTTTCTTCTACGCTTTCGGCCTTGGATACAGCCACTATAAATTAGAAGAAGATAAATGGCTATCATGCAAAAACCTCTCTTGTATAAACGGAACACAAACAAAACATCAGGTTAAGCCTCCCTTCTTGGCAGTCTAGTTTTCCCCCCATCTCCCATCTGCGTATTTCCAGGCTGCGTTTGCCGATTTTGTTTCACGGCCTCTGTTTATTGGGTTAAGCCTGCCTCTACTGAAGAAGACAAGCACGGGTTTTTTTTTTTTTTGCTAACCTGACGGTATAACTATCACTTAGGAGACCAAGACACATGGCAGGATCAAGCCTTAATACGTCTCGGCAAAGTTGATGCTGCAGATGTTCTACCTGAGCAACATACCAGGGAACATCGCTTGAAGAACCAGAAACCAATTAAAAGAAGAGTCTTTGAAGAGCGTACACCAGTGATGCAGACATTAAGAAGCATTGGAAGGATACAGGCAGCGGGGAGAAATCCATCCAAGGAGCTGCTGATCCAGTTCTACAGGGGAATTATTGAGTCTATCATCTGCACCCCTATAACTGCCTGGTTTGGTTCTGCAATCCAACAAGACAGACACAGACTTCAGAGGATAATTAGGACTGCAGAGAAAACAATGGCTACCCACCTGCCTTCAATCGAGGACCTGTATACTGCACGAGTCAAAAAGAGGGCTGTGAAAATATCTACAGACCCCTCACATCCCGGATATAAACTTGTTTCAACTCCTACCCTCAAAACGACACTACAGAGCCCTGCACTCCAGAACAACTACACACAAGGACAGTTTTTTCCCAAACGCCATCGCTCTGCTAAACAAATAATTCCCTCAACACTGTCCAACTATTTACAAAGTCTGCACTACTATTACTATTAATCTTCTCATCCTTCCTTTCACCCATCCCCTCCCACTTGTGACTGTATGACTGTAACCTTGTTGCTTATATCCTAACTATTTATATTGACTGTTTCCCAGTATGATTTGATTGCTGCTTGTACCCTATGACTATTATTAAGTGTGGTACCTCATGATTCTTGACGAATGTGCCTTTTCGTTTATGTACACTGAGAGCATTTGCACCAAAGACAAATTCCCTGTGTATCCAATCACACTTGGCCGATGAAGAATTCTATTCTATTCCATAAAAATCTTGGTTACGACTATCAGACTGCAGACTTTTCCTTTCTCGCTGTCAAGAAGATAAATCCTTGATGCATGTATTTACACAACCAGCTTCTGGTTTTCGAGATAATCTGTATCGCCTTGCTAGATTGATTCTCAGGAGTAACTAGGCAGCTCACTGGGATAACGACATTTCATTCATTAATGTCTTTTCTCCGATATCTGGGTGGCTTGTTTTTACAAATCAGTAGCTATAGCTTAGCCACTGAAAATGGACGAAATTGTTCAGCTTTTTTTTTTAAGTTGGCAGCATTCTTTTTCCCATCCGCAAGTTATCCCAAACCCTCGAAAACTGGCTAAAATCACACTGCCTACATCCATTCTGTACAGAATTTGGATGGGGGAATCTTAGGGTAGGTCTAATTCTTGTTTTATAGAATAGAATACAATGAGAGTTGGAAGGGACCTTGGAGGTCTTCTAGTCCAACCCCCTGCTCAGGCAGGAAACCCTAAACCATTTCAGACAAATGGCTGTCCAGTCTCTTCTTAAAAACCTCCAGTGATGAAGCATCTGCAGCTTCTGAAGGCAAGCCATTCCACTGATTAATTGTTGTGACTGTCAGGAAATTCCTCCTTAGTTCTAGGTTGCTTCTCTCCTTGATTAGTTTCCACCCGTCGCTTCTTGTCCTGCCTTCAGGGGGCTTTGGAGAATAGCTTGACTCCCTCTTCTTTGGGGCAGCCCCCCAAATATTGGAACACTCCCACCCTGTCACTCCTAGTCCTTCTTTTTCATCAAACTAGCCAGGCCCAGTTCCTGCAACTGTTTTTCATATGTTTTAGCCTCCAGTCCCCTAATCATCCTGGTTGCTCTTCTCTACACCCTTTCCGGATCTTCAACATCTTTTTTACATCATGGCGCCCCAAACATCTAGATATCCAAGTAGTCCTCAACTTATAACAGTGTGTTTAGTGATTGTTCAAAATTAAAATGCACTGAAAAAAGTGACTTATGGCCGTTTTTCAAACTTATGACCATCGCAGCATTCCTATGGTCATGTGATCAAAATTCAGATGCTTGGCAACCGATTCATATTTATGACGGTTGCAGTGCCCCAGGGTCATGTAAATGGTTTTTCTGGCCTTCTGACAAGCAAATTTAATGGGGAAGCCAGATTCACTTAACAGGCGTGTGACTAACTGAACAACTGCAGTTTCACTCAACAACGGTGGCCTGAAAGGTCGTAAAATGGGGCAAAAGTCACTTAACAAAAGTCTCACTTAGCAACAGAAACGCTGGGCTCAATTGTGGTCATAAGTCGAGGACTCCTCATGGTAACTCTATAAATTAACTCATTAATTCACAGAGTGGTACGCTATATCCTCTTGATATAGTAGTCCATCGCTAGATTAACTCTGTTAAAATTAGCTTCCTGTGTTAGATTTTTAAACAACCGCAGGGAAGAACTGGGATCAGAAGAAAATATACAAAGCCACATTAAAACTCAACTTCTCTCTCTTCTCAGTTTCTCCGGAGCAGGTGGATACAGCATCAAAAGGACTAGGGGAAGATTAAGATGGATCTACTTAACAACTCGGGGAGATGTTCTGCCCTCACTTAACACCAGACAAAGCAAATACAACTTTCTGATCTATCCCGGTATCAGTGGGGTTGTAAATTCTTTTCTACAAATTCTGAACGGTTAATTATTAATGCAACTCCCCGTCCCGCATTTAATCTGGGAGAGCAATCTCAGAATTGTAATTCAATTACGGGAAAGGGAAGGCAAGCCGCAGATTCCACACGAGCGCCGTGTGTGCTTGCGCACAGGGGATATGTGGGTCAAATTCACTTCCCCCATACAAAGCAAGTCCTAATGGCTCTCGACAATCGTAATGTACAGTTCCAACTAATGCCTACGGCAAACAAATCGGCTCAAATGTAACCGTAATTCTGCGGTTGCAGAGGAAGTAGGATTCCATACAGCACTGCCTTTTCCTTACCCCAAAGTCTCCGGGGACTACCAGCCATACAGAAGACAAAGCAATTTAACAACTGTCTTATTTTTTTTCCCCCATTTATTTTTAAACATTTCGTGCAATGCTGTTTTTCTACTCCCACTGTCACTGGAAAAAGAAGAAAAAAACTCATTTTTTTTAGAGAAGACAGCTAAGCTCACTACAGGGGAGTTGTTTTAATGATCTGACCCAAGAACATCTGTTTCTCTTTGGTGGCACCGGAAAACCCGTGTGATCTGACACTACAGTAAGCCTCAATATTACCAGTCTTAAAAGCATTTTGAGTTTCTCAAAGAGCAACAGGCAAACATCGCACATTAATTATGTAGTAGCTACCACACCACCTGTTCTCCCTACACTCAAAACTGGATGGATCTGGGCCACCCGAACTGCCAGAGGAAACGGATCATCATTCAATTTTAATTTGCCAAGAATCCAGCAAAAAAGGATAACGTGACATTTGTAATCAAACACCATTCCTTGCGGTATGACTGCATAAGCAACTGGTGGTGTGTGTTTTATTTTGTTATATTTATTTAACCAACCACATTGTGCCTATTACGCCGCACAGAAAAGCAGTGATGAACAACATCAGTTACTTGGTAAGCAACAATGAATTGAAAATTGGACTTTGCCACGATGCAGTTGTTGTGGTTCGCTGGCAGCCTGTGCAGACGGCAGCGGAATTGGACAGTGGGGAAGAACGGGGTCCAGTCCGGGAGTCTGGGGAGGACTCGGACAAAGGTCCTGTGTTCGATGCAGAGATGAGGCCAGGACCCTCTGGGAGTTGGGGTGCTAACTCCGGAACCTCCGGAGTCTGGCAGCAGCAAGGCAGAGGAACAAGGGGAGCGTGTGTGCAGAGCTGCCAGAAGGCAAGAGCAGCTGAGAAAAAAAAGGAGTAACTTGGAGGAGTTGGATGTGATTGGCCTTCCCCTAAGTTATAAAGGAAATGCAAAGGTAGAGAAACCCGTGCAGGAAGCAAAGTCATTCGTTCTGTTTGGATTAAACCTTGAAGCTCTGTGTGGACTTCGTACTTCAGTTGTTATTTTACAGTTAATTTGGCACTTTAGTTGTTGGCAGCAGTTCAAAGGAGAGAAAGATGGGTGCTTATGTCGAGGGACTGTTTGGGACTCATTACCGGCTGGGAATGAACATAATTCCCAGCAATGAAATAAAACAAGAGTTATTTTGACTAAGCATATGCTTAATTACAGTCTCAGGAAGCCTTGGTCAGAACAACAATCTACATCCTGTAAAGCAGAGGTTCCCCAAACCATGGGCCACTGCCCACTACCAACCAGGCCATGTGAGTGGAAGGCTGGCACCTGCCCACAGCCCGACTCCCACAAGAGGTAGACACTGGCTCTCACAGCCCCCCCCCCATGAGGGGCAGGTACTGGGACTCGCAGCCCCAAAGCTCACACAAATCAATCTGTGCAAGCCTGTACCTGCACTTCTCCCCCCCCCAAATCATCCCCCCCACAACGCCAGGTCACCAATGGTGAGAAAGCCATGCCCCCAAGTATTTGAAGCAACAAGCAAGACTATTTCAGGGAATCCAAAAAAGACGTAATTAGAATGAGGGAGGTTTCACTTTCTTGGTTGGTTTTAAAAGGATTGAGTAAGCTAATGCACTTGCTTGCATTACTCATTTTCATGCCAGTTGCAAGCTAGTTAAATATACATTTTACACTTGAAAGTCAGTTAGGTCTAGTAGTTAAGGCACTACGTTAGAAAGCTGGAAATCACAAGTTCTAGTTCCACTTCAGGCATGAAAAGTGGCTGTGTGAATGGGCCAAACACCAGGAGACGGTGAGTTCTAGTTCTGCCTTGGGCATGAAAGCAGGCTGGGTGACTTTGGGCCAATCACCAGGAGATGGTGAGTTCTAGTTCTGCCTTGGGCATGAAAGCAGGCTGCGTGACCTTGGGCCAAACACCAGGAGACGGTGAGTTCTAGTCCCACCTTAGGCATGAAAGCTGAAAAGATATTTGTTTCCTATGCAGGTGTCCCCAAACTGAGGAATTCAATGCCCTTAATCAACAGAACTACAAAATCCTAGCCCAGCCAATACGATTTTTTTCCCCAAGATACACAAAGAAAGCGATTTTTCCAGAGAATTTCCCTTACCTTTGGCCTTGAACGGCTGTTCTTCTTCCTCAGTGGGTTCTGAGGGATCATAATAATCACTACTGTAGGTAAACCCCACTGCATTATAGGACCCATCTTCAGCCAAAGCTTCGCTCAGCCTCTTATATTCTTCCTCTTGAAGAAAAAAGCAACACACAATTAAAAAAGGGTGGAAACATTTAAATACAGCTAACAACACGTAATTCGCCCTAGCATTCAAACACAAACATTACAGCAAGCTGACCACATGAGTCACGTATGGACACTGATTTTCTGCCCATACAAAAAAAAAGGGCAGAAGATATGAGCTTTCTTTCTTCTTTTTGGGGGGGATGATGTTGGTTTATATTTTAAAAAAATTTCTCCTACTGAGATAAGCGTGAACGTCATTTCTACTCAAAACACAGAAGAAGAAAAAAAGAGATAGGAACTCTTCGATGATACGATACTGTTACAGAAGAACAGTTTAAAAGAGTGTGCTCAATGCTCAGCCTGCCCTCAAAACGTGGGCAGCAATTCTGGGTTGCTCTACAAATAAACTATCCTGAGGTCCTCAGATACGCAAAGATGCTCGTTTTTCGAATCCACTGGGTTACTGTCAAAATAATATCAGAAAGAGTGAGTATATAACGAGTGGGAAACAATTACTTTTTTTCTTTTTTCATTAAAAAAAAAAGTTACGTTAAGACTATTTTCAAAGGAGCAGGAAAAAGCATTTTTTTTTTCAATTCAACGCGTGTGCTATTCTCAGGAAATTGTCCTAGATTTTTATACCTTGCCTTGCCTCTTCCTCAAGCAAGTCTGTACGCAAGGCTAAATACCTCTCTTCGTCACAGAGAGCTTCGATTCGAGCTTCCTCTTCGGACAATTGGTAATCTCTGTTCCAGGTGGAATATTCGGCGTCGTATTCGGAAAGATCGTGCAAGTGGCCACGCCCATCGTATCTGCAACAGGAAGGGGAGGGTCAACCAAGGGACTTCGGGCTCAGCTTCCTGCCAAATCTATCAATACTTACCACCTATAATGGAAAAGAACCATCTACTGAGTTAAACGAGGGACCCATTAATCTGACTAAACACTCCTTGACCCACTTCCTTTAACAAGAGCAAAAACCAAACCCCTTTGGGAGTTACTGGTTACAATTAAAAGCGGACTATCTAACCGGCTAAAAAAGAGGAACCAGCTGTCATCCGTCCTTACCGTTTGTGGTTCAACCATTTAATGACCCTGGTCAACATATGAAACGGCTACGTAACAGAGGGAATTTTTATTTTATTTTTTTCCTGCAAAGGCAAATTACTTACATTTACACAAACCCAAGTACATAAATACCTATCCGTAAGAACCAAACGGTGGGCAATTCCTCGCTTCTTTTTCTGCTAGGCTTGCATTCTCAGAAGAAATCTTCACCAAAGAAACTTGGATCCATGGGAGGTAAAATCATGGCTAGGCTCGGCCCCTAGCTATGCGGCTGAGGAAAGAAGTCCTGGGTTATGTGATAGAGAGACATACATACATAGGAACAGCAACATTGGTGCAATTTAAGGAGGTTCTTTGCAGGAAACACTCGCCGATCCCCTGAACTACGTATCCATCATTTTATGTTGGGTGTTTATTTCATTTGGTCACTTTTTTTGGTGGTGGTGGGGAATTGTCTGTGTTTATAAGCTGCTTAAGTATTTCTTTGGGCTAATATATTTTTTTTTGCATAATCTGTGCAAGGCCGGTAATTAAAAGAGGATTAGATTGAGACTAAAATAGTTTTTATTTTCTTTGTGGCTGGGAAAATATGATCAGAAGAGAGCAACCAAATCTATTCCACCATTCTGAGAGGAATGTGGAATATGAAGTTTGGTTAAAAGGCTTGTTAGATGGAAACTAATGTAAGGAAGAAACTTTTTTTTTTTTTTAAACAGACTTGTGAATAAAAAGGCATTTTCTTCTAAGATATAATCCTCTCAATGTCATTATTGCTTCCTCGAAAAAAAAACAATTCCAGAGAGAGCAAGGTAAAAAAAACCCAAAACAACTGCTCTGAAAGAATTATCAATCAATAATTTAGAGCCAGTTTTCTATTATGACTAAATATATCAAACCTCCTTAATTTACAAATGTAATATAACAAAAGATCATGAGCATATGCATAGCTTGCTTCTACCATTTTTACAGTTTTCAGCTAACTTGCCCTATCAGAAACTGTGAGAGAGCATTGGCTGATATGTGCTATTGTTCTGACTGATGACCATGAAGCTGAATTATCAAATCAATGCTTAATTTACATTTTGATTTGATTCTGGGAAGCAACAAAATATTGCCACATAACCTAATACAAGACATATGTCATGTGTTACCAAGAGTACGTTTTTGTTTTAAATGTTTATAAAGAAAATTCATTTTAAGGTTTCGTTAAAACTCATTAACGAGTTTTGTATTGTCGCCGGTAGGATTTGGTTTGGGAATTGGGATCTTGTAAACTTATAAAGCTTGTGTAAAGCGAAAATGGAAGAAGCAAGCTCTAACAATATGCCACACACTCTTTTCAAACCAAAGCCTTCAGACTCTCTTTGCATTTACACTAGGGGAATTGTGCTAACAACAATGCCGTTTCAGTCCCTTTGGCTATCCATTTTTTCACTAAATGCCAATAGAAAACGCTTTGATCTTCCAAAACAATGAAATTACAACCAGACAAAGAATCACCTGTCAGTTTTAGCTTTAAATAGCAGGAGTCCCCATGCATAACAGCATTACAGGAACCATTATCTAAATTCTGTACCATTTTGTGGTAATAAAACGAGTTTCCATGAAGCTGCAAATACTATTAAACTAAACAGCTGGAACATCTATCTACAAATCAATGAAAACCAAGGTTTTTTGCCAGAAGCCATACAAGTGTAGCCAATACACGCGACAACTTCCATCACGCTAAAAGGCGCATTACTGCCCTAAGTGAATTAGAGTATTAGGAATTCGGAAACTAAGGTTCTACTTTGTCAAACGTCAAATTCCCTGGAGGATTTTAAAACAGTCAGCCACTAAACCTCAGTTTAACCTTCTCTACAGGACCATTACAAAGATTGCTACTACGCTACTCTGAAGGGGGTGGGGGGGGGGGGGGGAAAACCCGCAACAAAACGAAGACTCATGAATGAATTGTAGTAGGGAAGGATGAGAACGCAAGAATCACCTGTACAAGCCATTAACCTTGGAGTGTAGCTTTACATCTTTTATTGGAAACTCAGGCAGGAAAAAAATGACCTGGGCAAAAAGGTCGTACTGCGTAACAGATTGTGGGATTAACTTTACCACCCTAGAGAGTTATGTTTTTGCTAGGATAAGCATTCAGAGATGCAAATAGTCTTCCTTCTATTTGTAACAGGAGTCATTAAAGACTTTGGTTTGAAAAGAGGGTACTCCAACCCGAGTTTATATATAGGATCCACTCCTTCAAGGTGGAGGGAATGTAAACAACACAGCAATCCTCTGCCAAGGAGGAAGAGAACATGGGGAGGTGAGGAAGGGTCATCTAGATTTATCTGGATCAGATTAAGGCCCAACACAAAGCTTTCTAGATTTATCTAGATTAGATAAACCTTGGAGCTTTCTAGATTTCCAAAGGTGGCTTTGCTGGAATCTAAAATTTACAATTTTTAAAAATACGTGCTGTGCCTTGGCTAGCTCAATAGGCAGAATTCAAGGGAAGCTCTTAATCTTTTTTAAAAAAAGCTATTATAGAAGCCTTATCACGCCCAACTTCAGAGGAGTAGCCACGCTGGTCTCTTCCATCAAAAACCAAGCCACTTTAAAAGTAGGTAGATTTCATGGTCTAAAACCATTCAAATATGTGAAGGATTTGTTTTAGTGGGCGGTCTCAGTATTAAAACCACACGTTTTATACATAATTATTGTTCCTTTGAAAGCTGCTTTTACCAAATCAAACTTTCTACATGTGCACCCAAAAACTAGCAGCCTTTTTGGGGAGACATCTCTACCCAAGCATCTCTCATAAACAAACTGACATAGGTAAGTATAGTCCAAAACATGATTTCTGAAAGCTATTTCAGAAATTGTATTTGCAGATTTTTTTTTAAAGTTGAAAGGTGAGTTAGCACTTCCACTAGTAAGTTTTTTTTTAAGGTTACAGTATTTTATATATACAGTATTATATTTATGCCCTGATAGTACAACCAAGTGATGGCAAGATTTGTGATTCACCAAGAACTCGCAGTAGCTTGAAGCATGGAATTATATGAGATTGTTTACACAAAACCAAACACACTGTACAATATTATGTGGTTACAACAACCTAATACAGAGATTTTTTTTATTACTGGTAATCTTGGGAATTCCTTCTACAATAGTCAACAAAATTCATTTTTTTTAAGGTTTTCCCCCCCAATTTTATTGGAATTATGGGGCCTTGGCATCCATCTCCAACCTGGACAGATGGGCCAGTGGGAGTTGTAGTCCAGTATGTAGAGATCACTGGGGAGGCGGTGGATGATGGGAATTGTAATTCAACACATCACTGATGTGTTACCTATAGATTTATAACGCTGAACAACTAAATGGAAGTATTCGTTTAGCATAGGTTATCCAGAAGCAGCCAGGATGGGGGTTGTAATCCAGCATATGGCAAAACCATAAACGACAGGGATGGGAGATGTAGTCCAGCCTGTGTGAAAGCAGCCAGGGATGCTGGGCGGGGATGGGAGTTGCAGTCCAGGCTGACTGAAATCAGCCAGGGAAAACAGACGGGGATGGGAGTTGTAGTCCAACCTGCCTGAAATCAGACAGGGACACTGGATGGGAGCTGTAACCCAGCCTTGTGAAAGCAGCCAGGGAAAACAGACAAGAGATGGGGGAACTGCAACCCAGCCCTCTTCGTAGGAGAAGGCGGGGATAATAAAAGCCTTTCCTCGCCTGGGCCCTGCTCTCCCGAGTCCTGCTTGGCAGAGGATCCCCGGCAATTTCCCCCCCCGCCTTTCCACCCTCCCCTCCCCAGAGAACCACCAGGGCCACAAGGAGGGCGAGAGGACCGTCAGAAGCAGTAGGAGAAAGAAGCATAACGAGAGCAGCGATAGTCGGGCGGGGGGGTTGCTGTGCACCGACCTATCGATCATGATGGAGGCCTCGCCCATCCAGGGGATCAGGTGGCGGCCTTGTTCCTGCTGGAGCGCCTTCTCGTCATCGCGGAACAGCTTGCAGGCGTAGCCGAAGACTAGCAGCTCCACGCGGCCACCGCCGACCACCCCGCCGCCGCCGCCACCGCCGCTCCCGCCTTCGCCGCCGCTGGGGCCGCTGGGCGAAGAAGCCGCCGCCGCCGCCGCTAACGGGAGCGTTCCCACCGCCCGTCCGGCAGGCGCCGCCGAGGCCTCGGGCCCGCTTGCCCGGCCGGCGTACATGGCCCGAAGAAGTCGCCGCTCGAAAACCGGAGGAGCAGGAGGAGGAGAAGGAAGAGGCCGCCCCGGAGTCGCCTCACCGCGACCCCGCGCCGGGCAGTGGCCACTGCGGCCTCCCTGACGCTTCCATCCGCCGCGAGAAAATGGCGGGCGTCAACTTCCGGTCCGAGGACTAGAACAACCGGAAGTGTTTCCTCGGCCCCGCAGATTCGAAAAAGACCTCCTCGGCCGATTCGTCACGAGCTGAGGCGGTTTGAGAGAAGGGGAAAAAAGCCCGAACCAGGCGTTTGAAGAAGCAAAGCGGGTTGTGTGGTTTTTGTGTAAAGAGCGAAGATGGGAATTTATTGAAGGTTTAAAAAAAAAAGACGCCGCGGGGAGGGGTGGCGAAAGTGCGAATCCCGAATGGGAAGTCTGGAGAGGAGCGAGGAGAGGAAAAGGGGGCGGGGTTTTAGTGAAGGGAGCGGGGAGGGAGAGGAGCAGCATCAAAGGTCTCCCTTGGTTGTAATGTGATAAAGAGTTGTAGATTATGCCATTATTTTGCTCTATTGTACTAAAAAAGACTCGGAATTCTTTCTTTCTTTCTCTCCCTCCCCCCTTTACTATAGACTTCCCTTTTTCCTCCCCCTGCTATTTTCAGAAACAGAATAGAGCTGGGACAGGGGTGGGATTCAAATTTTTCAACAACCGGTTCTGTGGGCGTGGCTTAGGTGGTGGGCGTGACTTGGTGGTCATGTGATTGGCTGCACAGGGCCAACTCAATATCACTCACATGGAGGCCTCTCGTGACTGTGGGGATGCTGCAACAGTCATAAGTGTGAAAAACAGTCATAAGTCACTTTTTTCAGTGCCATTGTAACTTTGAATGGTCCCTCCACACAAGCAAAGTACCAGCAAACGAGCAAAAAAAAAACTCCAGAGAAGTTCCTGAGACAGGAAGTCTAGTCCTGCCAAGCATGTAATAAGGGTTAACAGAGAGGGAGTTTTTGTAAGCAACACCAGAATGTTTTCTTCCTGCCTTCCTTACAGGATTAGCCCAGTAATTTCTTCTCACAACGGGTTCTCCAAACTGCTTAGAATGTTAACAGCTGGTTCTAGCAAATAGGTGTGAACTGGTAGAATCCCACCCCTGGGAAGGGACCTTGGAGATCTTCTAGTCCAGCCCACTGCTCAAACAGGAGAACCTATATGATCTCAGAGAAGTGACTGTCATCTATCTATCTATCTATCTATCTATCTATCTATCTATCTATCTATCCATCCATCCATCCATCCATCCATCCATCCATCCATCTATATCTCTATATGCCTATATCTACGTCTACCTATCTACCTACCTATGTATTGTTGAAAGAAATATCCTTCTGGGTTCAGCTCCAAGTGGGGAAAAAGACACTGGAAACGTGGAGGCTGTTTGGAAGGTTTAATGGTGGACAGGACCACATGGCCTGGTCCACATACAAACACCTGCGAAAACCTCAGAAAACACACACACACACACACACATATATTTGTATATACTGTATATATGATAGATGGATATAAAATCCCTTCTTACATTCAGTGGGCTGGCCTTGCACTTAAAAGCTGCTTCTTGATTGGACGATTGTAGGTTCAGCCGATTTGCAAATATTGGCACTCAAACTCTGCATCTAATGCCACTTCGCATTTTCAAAGCCTGCCAAAAGCACAATGTTGACTTAGGAACAAATTTCCATTTAGCCCCCTATGCTTCTTTTGTACCTTTTGTCCTCTGCTGAATTGTTTTCCTACCTGCTTTGGGGGAAAAAAAAGGAAAAGAGAAAAACGGCTGTTTTGGGGAAGAGCAGAAGGGCAGGATAAATTCCACTTCTTCTCCTGGGTAATAGGAGGAAGTTGAAATAAATAGAACGGGTTGAATCACTGCAGCTTATACTGCATTGGGGAGGCCACGCTTGAAATACTTGCGTCCTCCTCTGGTCCCCATGATGTAAAAAAGATGTTGAGAGCCTAGAAAGACAGAGGTGGTATTCAGCAGGTTCTGACCAGTTCTGGAGAACCGGTAGGAGAAATTTTGAGTAGTTCAGAGAACCGGAAAATGCCACCTCTGATTGGCCCCACCCCCACCTGTTCTCTGCCTCCCATTGAGTCTCAACTGATCGGCTGGAGACTGGAGACTAAAACATACGACGGACAGTTGCAGGAACTGGGCATGGCTAGTCAGATGAAGAGAAGGACGAGGGGGGACAGGAGAGCAGTCTTCCACTATTTGAGGGGCTGCCACAGAGGGGATGAGGGAGTCAAGCTATTTTCCAAGGCACCCGAAGGCCAGACAAGCAATAATGGATGGAAACTGATCAAGGAGAGATTTAACCTGGAAATAAGGAGAAATTTTTTGACAGAACAATCAAGCGATGGAACAAGAAGTTGCCTTCAGAAGTTGTGGGAGCTTCTCCACTGGAGGCTTTCAAGAAGAGACTGGACTGCCATTTGTCAGAAATGGTGTAGGGTCTCCCGCTTGGGCAGGGGCTTGGACTAGATGACTTATAGGGTCCCTTCCAACTCTGATTATCTTGTTATCTGGCTGGGTCTTCTTTGGTTGCCCTGCACAGGAGAACGGAGCTGGAAAGCAGGTTAGTGGGGTGGGGAGGGAATGGGGATTTTACAGTATCCTTCCCCTGCCATGCCCACCAAGCCACACCCACCAAGCCATGCCCACAGGTCCCATCCCTGCATCGGTCCTCTCCAGACTCCCTGACTGGTTCCCTTTCATCCTCACTGTCCGATACCGCTGCCATCTGCACCGGCTGCCGGCAAATCACAACGAAAGTAATGGATGGAAACTGATCCAACCCAGAAGCGAAATTTCCTGACAGTGAGCACAATTAACCTATGCAATGGTTTGTCTCCTGGCATTTTGGGTGCTCCATCACTGGAGGCTTTTAAGAAGAGACTGGACAGCTCCATCCAACATTTTTTTTTTTAAAGAAGAGACTGGACAGCCATTTGTCTGAAATGGTATAATGTTTCCTGCTTGAGCAGGGGTTGGACTAGAAGACCTCCAAGATCCCTTCCAGCCCTGATATTCTATGATCTAATTCTTTCAAGATCAAGGAAGAATTGTGGAATAGTGTGAATGTAGAGCTGCTCCCACTTTCTATATTTGAGATTTTCCAAACTCTTTTTCCCCCCCCGCTTCCAATCACATCTTCTCGCCATCCCTTAGCCTGCTAACTATTTCAAGCAGGAAGAGGCACAATGAAATTCACCAGCATGGCTCTGGAGTGTCACCTGCGTTGATCAACCTCCAGGAAATGTAGTTTCCTTTGAGCTATGTCTGAACTATCCCTCTCCGGAGTGTTGCTGAATTAAATTCTCTGCATTCTTCTAACTAGGGACTTAGAAAGAAGCGACCTGCAAAAAGCCACGGTTTAAATATTGTACTAAGCCGCTTTCTTTTTGGACAAGCAGAATGAAAACCACCAGTGTAAATAGGATGATGATGATAATGACAAAGTCGCAACAATGGTGCATTGGACGATCTGCAAGAAATATCATTTGCTTGTAAGCAAGGACTGGTGGGACCATAAAATAGAAAAAGTCATAGAAAATGAGACATTAAATTGTTCTGGGACTTCAGAATCCAGACAGACAGGCACTTGCCACATAACACCCCAGACTTAACAGTTGGTGATAAGAAAGACCAAAAAGTGGATGTGGCAGTACCTGGAGTTAGCAGAAGAGAAAAGAAAGTACTGGAGAAGAAGACAAAATACAAAGACCTACAAATAGAAATAGAATGACTATGGCAAAGGCAAACAAGGGTAGTACCAATAGTCATAGGTGCCTTGGGTGCAGTTCCCTAGTCAACTGGAGCACCACTTGAACACCATTGCTGGCATTGACACATTTACCATCAGTCAATTGCAGAAGGCAGCTTTACTTGGATCAGCTTCCATCCTGCGGCGATCTCTGTTAACACCGTCAAACATCCAGATTTGCCTATTCCAGGTCCTTGGTAGGTAGACAAAAATGCCAAATCCAGTCGGACCATCTGGTTGATTGTGTGATTAATAATAATAATATTATAATCCTGAATTTATCTGACTTGAATACCCCGATTCCACAAAAAACCACCATACTTGGAACAGCTTATATCCTCCGACACTACCCGAATAGTTCCTAGGTCCTTGGTTAGGACTCAAGCTGTTGAGCTA